CCCCTTCTTGTCAGTTTCTCTACTGGAAAGTAGATTTTTATACTTTGGAATATGTATTGTTATAGCTCTTTATATTTTAAGGGTATATTTAAATAATATGTGTTGCACAAAGATTTTCTGTTTGAGAAATGATAATGCATTAAAAGGAGGAAAGCTGACCTTGAAAAATGTGGTCATTATGCATTAGGTGAGCTCGTATTTTTATTTTTTGAGTGATCTAACTTTGTTAACTTGAGTCCTAATTGTGCATCGATGCTGCTTGAGTTGCTCCTGGTTGAAGTTTGTTCACAAAGAGTCATTTGTGGAATCGAATGCTAAAATTATGCAAGCAAAAATATGCAGCAGGTGGGTTTCCTTTTTGTTCTTGGTGCTCTAGTTATGAAAAACTATTATTTATTGCAGATTTGGTTTAAATAGCAGAATAGCCTAGTCAGTTTCTTCTCTCTTGTGGAAAAAGCAGGATTTCAAGTTCCGTGTTTATTCATTTTGATATTTTCCAAGCGGCAGAATGCTTTAAAAGGCAGTATGAAATAAAATCTTTAAAATAGGTTTGTAATATGACTCATATTTTTATGGGCAATTTTACAAATAAGGTTTTAACTGTAGAAAAAGTTTTAAGGAGAGTTTTGTGTATGAAAGGAACATCAGAGTCTGATTGATTTTTTTTTTTTTTTTTTTTTTGGTAACCTACTTACTCTCAGTAATGTAGGCGAACAGAGAGAGGAAATTTCCCTATTTTAAAATAATATTTCTTTTGTGCTTTAGACAGAGGCAGGATTAGTGTCTAAAATTACTTTACGTTCATTTTTATGTTGACCATCTCATTTGAAGGTTGTAGTAACGGAATAAATCCCAAATTGTATTTTGTGCTAAATCATAAGCTGCCGGATATTTTAAACTCAATCCACTCTCTGAAACAAGATAATTAAAGATCTGCAGAAAAATATTATTGATTTTTTTTTTTTTTTTTTTTTTTCATGGACAGCCAATCACACAGGAATGTAAAGGTGTGTTGTTGTCCCCCCCTCCTCCTCCCCCCCCAGAAGTGTTTGACTGTGTTAAATCTCTATGCTCACCTTTTTTACTTTTTTTTTTTTGGCCTATAAAGCTGCCTGAGAGCATCTTTGGAACATTGCCAAAATGTATCATCTTTGTGGCCTTACCCCACTGAGAAATTTTTAATGGCATCTCATATCAGCTGCTATTATTTCTCCTTTTTTCATTTCTAAATCTCTACTTAATATTTCAGGGTATTAAAAAGGCAGACATCTGTCCTCCTCTAGGAAGTCAGACCATCTCATCACCATTATTGGCTTCCTATTATTTTTCATATCTGAATCATACTCAGACAAGAGTCCTCTGAGGGAGGCCTAGCTCTTGTGTGAGGGAGGCCTTGCTCTTACGTTATGAGATAGCGTGGGTAGTCCTGAAAAAACAGTAGTCATCCTGTCTACCTCTGACTAAGCATTTGGAAAGGGAGGAGAGGGTATTGGAAGTGCAAAGAAAGAAAATGAAACCCTATCCCTTGCTCCAAACATCCAGGAAAAGAAAAAAAGAGAAAGAGATAAGAAATGTTTCCTTCTGAGCAGCCAGGAAGGGTTGGAATGAGACAGGAAATATTTTGACAAATGAACTACCTGAGAGCCACAAAACTGTAATGAAGAGATGGCCTCAGACTGTTTGTTGTCATACAAAAATAACAGTGTAAAGCCAGACATCACTTCTTGATTATCTGGTGTCATGGTGACTCCATTCAGTAACTTTCCAGCTCGTGAAAGCTGATTATCAGTGAAGGGTTGAATATTGCTGGACCAACTGGCCCTCCCATTCACGATCACATTTTCCATCCCAATGACAGCTGCAAAGATAGCTTCTATGCAAAAGTAATATAAAGAGAGAACTATTGTTTACAGCTCAGCTATCCTGAGGGTGATCTGTCCTTTTTAGAAAAAAAAAGTCAGTTGCAGTGTCTCTCTTATTCTTCATTTCATTTCTGTACCCACCCTACCTATTCTGTTTTTCTATGCTGGAAATGGGGATAACCACTTTTCCCTTGTTATCATCTAGTATCTTGACCATTGAAATACCTTTCTGTCCTTGACAGTACAATTTGGTGCGTCTCACACCCATTCAGAATGCTGCTGCAAAAGATTTTTTTGTCAGTTTGACCATGTTCCTACTCTCCTTTGCCTTTCACAGGTTTCCCATTTTCTATTACATCAACAGAGTTACTGGTTCCCTTTTTCATCCCCTTCACAGCAGCACCTTACTTACCATTCCACATTCAACATGTCAGCTGCTTCCAGTTGACCCATGATATTTACTTCTGTTGCTCCCTTTTTAGGTTTTCAAATTCATATTTTCATGCTTTGTGCTTTCTTCCTTGTTGCCCTCACTCTTGACAGGAGCTCCCCATGAACATCAGTAAAGCTATTCCATTATAATTTTCCAGACCCCCTTCTTAAAACTTTTCTTTGAAGTGATGCCTACTAGGCTTATGATCTGTTGACCAGTATTGTCTTGCCTCCTTGTACTCCCCCACTATCTGTTTCTGTCAGTTGTCTCTTGTTTTTATACTTGGACTTTAAGCTTTTTTGGTTTGGTCTTTTTACAGCTCCTGGCAAAATGGCTTAGTCTATCACAAGGGTCCTCAGTGCTATGTTAATGCAAAAACAAAATAACAGTTACCATACATAACACATATCCAGGCACTGTTTTGCTGTCACGCTCCTACATTGAGCAGAGGTTGGACTAAATGACCTTATGTGATCCTACTTTGTAGGACTTCAGTGGTCAAATTCAGTGATGAGTGAACAAGAAGAGAATGGTAAACTCTGGCATAAAAACATCTTAGCACATGGCTTCGTGTTGCTCTTCAGCAGTTGTTTTTGAGTTGAGCAGCATTTTTTTTTTGAAGAATGGTTAGTATCCAAACAGAAAATAATATGCAGCATTTCATTTTGTGGCCTTTCCACTGAGATTGTTGTGAATGTACCACTGACTAGGGTGATATCTAAACTGGTGACCTAGGTTCTGATTTTGCACCTAGAATAGTTTTAAATAATGGTGAGTACATTTGATAGATGTTTAATTTCCTGACTGCGAGTGAAGTACATGTAGCCATACTACTGAAATTTGAAGCTATTTTATGATTTATGATTTCATGAGAATGAAGTCTCTAGAAGAAAAATATTCTCTGTCCCATTACAAATTCCCTATAGGCATTCAATCCTTATTCTATCTCATCTAAAAGTGAATTGTAACTAAATTAACTGCACCAAGCACAATATCCAAAAACACTAGGTGCAGGCCTGCATTCTGTTGTCTGTATCTGCTCCTTAGAAGAAATTTAACACAGCTATTTGGAAAAGCTGTAGATTTTTATATTAGGAACTTACTTCCTGGCAAGTTCATATTTTTGCAGCAAAGAAAAGTCAGCAGTTTGTTGCATACCAATGGGCAAAGTACAAATGCAGAGAATGATGTTTTTGTATGTGAATCCTTAATTTATTAATCCAGTTTGGATTATTGCAGAGGTTTAATGTCTTTATGGGCAGAGACTGAGAGAGACAGCTGTACGGTTGTCTTCATTCTGTCCTTTCACAAGCTCTGGAGGAGGCTGGGTATGGGATGGGTGTGTTGGATACAGTATTGAGATTAATAGGTAATGCTTTGTCCAAGAGCAAGCTGAGGAACAGACTATTGTATTAAGACGGCCCCCAGGGCTTGCAGAGCAGCCAAGAATTGGGACTTGCACAGGGGCAGCTTAAAGTCCCTGGAGTCATCCTAACTTGCTACTTATTGCATCTTAGGGGGACAGCACAGAATCTTAACTCTAGTTATAGTGTGGTGATTATCGACTTGGAGGTGGTCTTTTTATGTATAGTATACTCAAAAAAGTTACTAAAGAGATCAGTTTCTTTTGTTACTGCTGTTTAACTGTACAGCTGAAATAGGATTTTTGCCACTGACTTCAATACAAATAGGATTCAGACCTTGTTGGGTTGACAGGAGGGTTTCTCTAGGTATACCTCTGTAGTTGGTATATGCTTGCACCCTTGATATATTCTGCTAACTTTTAAATGCTGGTTTATGAATTTCAAAATCAAATATATTTTACACTTTATTGTTATCCTGGCATCTACAAGTTTTGATGAAAAACAGGGATTGCTGAGGTAGCTCCTGTAAAGAATGTATTTTAATTATTTTTGTCTGTACCTACTTGCAGACAGAGTCAGGCTCGTGTGAGAGTGTTGATTTTAAAAGTAAGGAGTTTAGAAGAGAAAAGCTCTGTGTTCTATTATTGATCTCTTCAAGTAAAAGACGTTTTCTGCCCCAAACAGCTTCCTTCTAGGCGGGTTTTTATTTTTTTTTTTAAAGAAAGCAACAAATTTGGGAATACACATAAATCTTATGGATGTTATTGGTTTGAACCTGCAGCATTTTTCAAATACATCCTGGTTTTCTTGTAAAAATTTTTTCTAGTGCAATTCTAAGTTTTTGTTACTGTTATAATTCTTTTTCAAACTACTATATATTTGAGAACTTTATTTGCAGGTCCTGCTTTATAACAGTAACCTTGCAGAATTGGCAAATAAATTTGTTCTTTTTTTTATTCCAGTGGTGGGAAGGACAGCTGTTACAATATGATGCAGTGTGTGGCTGCTGGGCACCAGATTGTTGCACTAGCGAATTTACGGCCTGCTGAAAACACAGGTAAGAATGTCTCATTGCTAGGGTAGCGATCACTCCAGAAGTGCGCTGTGCGGCAGTTCCTTTAATCTAGGAGTTTCCTGCATGCACCTTCCCACCACTGATTGGTGAAGTGTCCCCATTGGCCTCACTGCTTGCCCCTGATTGTCAGGGAGATGAAAACCACAGTTTTAAATATATTGCAGTTTTTGGGTTTCGCTGCTGATTGGCTGAAGGGCCATGATGGCCCTGCTGCTTGCTGCTGACCGGACAAGAGGCAACATATTTAAAACTGCAGCTTTTGTCTCCTGGCCATCTGGAGCAAGCAGCGGGGCTGATGGGGCCCCTCCCCCGATCAGCAGTGTGGGAAACTCCAAGATTAAAGGAGCCACTGTGCAGTGTACTTCTGCTGTGAGTTTCAGTGATCCCTACTCATTGCCACTAGCAGGGCTGTTCAACTTAATGTCTGCGGGCCACATGACCTATGGCCTTCACCAGCAGGGACTGCATGCTATGGGATATGAACTGGTGTGGGTCCCTAAGCACCCCCCAGGCTCCCCACTGCTGCCCTGGGCCTATGGACACTTTCTACACTTCACACCATGCACACATGGGAGCTTCCCCCCCAAGCTCTACTGGGTGCTTCTCCTCCTACTTCATTTCTTCCCTAGGGTCACTGGGCACATATGTTCTTTTTCCCCACACTGCACCAGACAAATGGGCAGTGTCCCTCCCTCCTTACATCCTGTTGCTCCCCATGCTATGGGCTTCCTGAGCACTGTGAGCTGTGCCACTCTTCTCCACCTAGGGAGGAACAGAAAGAAGCCAGAGGGAGGGGAAGCTCATAGCCTCCAGCTGCAGTTGGAGTAATGTGCATGGAGCGGTGGCCTCCTGCAGGCCTGGGAGGCCACAAACTAACTCCTTGTGGGCTGCCAGTTGGACAGCCCTGGCTTACAGGATTCTTTGAATAGGAAAATACCATGGCACAGCTGTGCCTAAATTAAATCCTGTTGTGCATTTGTATATAGCTCCACGTATGGGAGGTATTCTAAAATATTTACAGAGAGAGGTGGAGGGGAGAGGGCAATTTAGAGTTCATTAAAACAACTCTTAATCAGAGTAACTGAAGAGAGGAAAAAACACAAGAAAATGAGGAATGGCAAAAGATGATCCTACACATTAAAGGGAGGAAAAGCAACAACACTTTCTTCTAATCCAGTCACAAGAAGGGGAGAATGAGAGGGTTCAATAATTACAGTAATGAAAGGTAAGCAGGGTCTAGCAGCAGTTATAAATAAAGAGGAACAGGAAGGTTTTAAGGTGTGATTTGAGAAGAGTCTTTTGTTCCAGTATAAGAGGGAGACTTCCTGATGCAGTGCATATGAAATGGAGTCCCCCAGTCTCTCCAAACTGGAGATTTCTGAGAGAATTGAAGTAAGAGGTGTGAATACTTCTGAAGTCAGGAATGAGCCACCAGTAGAGTAGGGGAAAATCAGGGAGTAGATTAGAGCAATTTATTCCCATGGTAGCCAGAGCAACAACGTTGCTAATCTTGTTGAAATATGTTTTTCATAAAACTAATTTATCCACATAAAAAATGTAGAATGTTGTCATTAAAATCATAAAATGATCCCTTTAAGTGTGTAGTAGGAAACTTTGTGGAAAGCTAATTGAGGTGCTGCAGGCAGCAGTGGAAGCTGCTAAGCCATTCATTTTTTTTTATCTCGTACCAGTGTTGCCTGGAGAGTTGCAATTAATAGAGAAACTGAATATTCGGAAGTGGATGTCAGCTTAAAGGGACAATGTCAAGTTTTTTTAAGCATCACGTTTTATATATGTTTTAATGATTTTCTTCTAAAATAAACTTCTCTGGTCTATGTTGGTTTGTTTTGGCTAACAAGCCCCTTCAGACCATTTTGAGCAAATACCTGCCCCGTACTGAACTAGTTTTGACATGACATAATGGTTTCTGACGTAACATAATGGTTTACATTAGAGGTCAGCAACCTTTTCAGGTTGCAGGTTAAATTGACCCACTTTGGATCAGAGGTGGGCCAGTGCATGTAGCGTGGGTGCTAGACCTGCTGCCATTCTTCCTGTTTTTCCCAGCAGCAGGGAAAAGTGGCAGTGGCAGCTGGGTCCTAGTGCTTGCTTCCTTTTGACCTGTACTGGGTTGGTCTGGCTTCTGAAGCCTTGTGTCTGTGGACCAGATCAAATGGCTGTGTGGGCCAGATTTGGCCTGTGGGCCATTGGTTACTAACAACAGCTTGGTTATCTTGCTGTTTCCCTCTCAGCTTGTCATGTTCCATTTTGATCTCCTTCTGGCCCTATTAACTCTTGTGCTGTCAGCTGCCCACAGTGAAAGTTTTGGCAGGGGGGGTGGAGCAGTATGGGTTTAAATTCCCTCAGGTTGGGCATGTCCAGATGAGTGTGCATGTGCAGAATGCGGCACTGCCCACCGCACACACCGCATTCCCTATGCTACTAATTTGCAGCATAGGAGGTGTTTCTGACACTGAGAGATCCTGGTGTCAAAAAAACCCGCAGTGGAAAAAAGTGGGGCGGTGCACATGGCAGCAGCGTGTGCTGCCCAAAACCAGAGCCTGGCTGGCCAGAGCCACATTCCAGCTGCTGCTGCTGGATTGCTGCTGCTGGGACCATGGGAGGCTCCCAGAACTCTGGGTAAGGCTGCTGGGGCCAGCCCACGTGCTGGCTCCCACTTGGGACAACTTGCCATGTGCCAAAGTGCATGTGCATAGGCGTTCCCCAGGGACAAGTAGCAGCGGCACATATTGTGATGCTGCTCTTTGGCCCTGGGGAAATGCACTTGCGTGTTCATCTGGATACGCCTGTGGAGGCTTCCCTGAAACTCTGATTTTCTGCTTTTTGCATGAGTGCTCTAACCATGATTCTGCTGGTCCAAAGAAGGGTACTGCTATCAGTACCATCATTGATTTGAAGAGAAGTTGAGAATTCTACCTTCCAACAGAAGCCTATCTAGGGGGGGAACATTCTGAAATGCACTTACCCCTTGCTTATCTGAAAAAATCTTTGGCAGGGGTTAGGTTCTATAAATGTGCCTACATGCACCATCTGAGTTGCTTGTGAGTATGTTTGGAAGCCCTAGTGTAGCTGCCTTTCAGGGATTTTTTTCAGTCCAAATTGGAGGTGTTTAGTGAGTGCTGTGGTCGCTGGTACAGGACACATTTGAATTGCTTTTTGAAACTTAGGCAACTTAAGTCCTATTTAGATGCATAAGAAGACATCTATCTGGTCCCATGTCTTTTGTATACAGAAGTTTGAAATCCAGTTACAGATTCTGGGGCTGTGTCTTTGAACATGTGCTTCTCTGGCAAGCAACAGCAAAAACTCTTATTTGCTTTATTAAGAGTCAGGTTGGACCCATCATAGGGAATTTGAATATGAAGTACTTTGAAGTATTAAGGGAGAAATGGGCTTCTCAGTTCAGAAGTCAATAGATTTATGACACACACATTGCTGTATAACTTTCTAAGTGGAAATACCTACTTAATTTTATTTCATGTTTGTACAGATGCTGTCATAAGCATTTGTGTTAGTGAACTAGAGACACTCAGAATTAGGTAGCCTTAATGCATAAGGTAGAGCTTGACAATTTATGGCACCTCTGGACTGGATCTGGCCTGTGAGAGGCGTAACAGAGTGTATGGTGCCTTGTGAGGAATCTGTACTGCCTTATTGCAGCCATTGCTTTTCTTGCCCCTGAATCCACTGTTGTCCATTGACACTGATGTTGGCAATTGGCTGCACTTGGCAACAGTCAGAAGCAGTAGTGATGGCTGAAGTAGCGGGGTATGGGAGTGCCCACCAGGTTTGGGAAATACTGGTCCAGGGTGAAATTTGGTGCCATGCAGCAGCAAGTGTGGGGGTTGCAGAGGAAGTGAACAGGAGTAAAACAGTGGCCCACCTTGGAGCCAAGCCATTTTTACTTTGGCCGACATTTTGTAAAAGGTTGCTTTAAAGTATTATGAGTTTTCAGTATCTTTGATATGATATATTTCATATCATATTTGCCTCTTCAGTTATGGCAGCGAAGACAGATGAGCTGGACAGCTACATGTTTCAGACAGTAGGACACCATGCCATTGACCTGTATGCTGATGCAATGGATTTGCCGCTTTATCGTCACACTATAAAAGGATCCAGTGTGGATATTGGAAGAGTATATACCAGGTGTGAAGCAGATGAGGTTGAAGACCTTTATCACCTTTTGAAACTTGTTAAGGTATGTTGCATGACAGCCAAATAACTGGGATAAACATTTAGACTTTTAAATCAATGACCTACTGATGCCTTAAGGAAAGTTTGAACGTTTTTAGGTGTTTCTATTATTGCATTATGATTTTAGTTACCTTTTCCTTTGTTCTTTCTTACAGTGTGAATTTACACAATGGAAGCTTAATTTAATTTGTGTTTATTCTTCATGTAAGATGATTGGTTAGTCCCTATTTTAGGCCAAAACACTTGTTCTTATATAGTAAATAAATGCCAATAATAATAAAAGGTGTATGCCAAAGAATACAAAAAGTATAATTGTTAGACCTATTTATATATAGTCAGTATAGTTCTCCAAGTTTTACACAAATGACATAATTCCTAACTTGATTACTTCCTATAAGCTCTGTCTTATTTTGTGTACATTTGTTTATTTATCAGTGGGAAGATGTATGCATTTGTTTTTGTGCATTATAAAAAAATCAGAAGTGATCGAATTTGTTTTTGCAATGCGTTTCCTTTTCAGAGTATTCTAAAATACTTAACCATTATGATTTTGATGCTGGCATTCTGATGAACAGGTTCTAAATCTATCATAAACTCAGCAGTAACTTAATTGACATTTTCAACATTTTTATTAAGAGAAAAACATGTTGGCTAAGATACTGGAATTTATTTTCTGCTATTTTTGAGAATTGATTGATACACATGAGCATTTTTGTCTGTTATAGCCAAAACTGCAGAAATTAATTGGTTGCAAGTCTAAGATTATAAAGAGATAACTAAACATGTTATTGCCCTTTGATTAGGATACTAGCATTTAGTTTAAACCAAAGTTGGGGAGCTCTCAAAAGTCTTCCATGTTCAATTTTTCTCTTTCTGGCTGCTACCCAACCACTGTTTCTTCTAGCTGAAGATGTGGAATCCACTGAAGCCATTGTCACTGTGACTCTGATGTTCAGCTAAAAGGATGTGACTTGGTTTAAGACGGGGGTGTCCAATCTTTTTGAATGTGGGGCCGGATCACGAACTTTTTATCACCCAGTGGGCCGGCGAGCCATATTCAAAGACCTCACAGGAAGTGGTATCACATCAGGAAGTGATGTCACATGACCTTTGATACCAATGAAGTTGCAGGAAGTGACAATGAAATGGGTCTAAATAACCAGTTCAAAACTTTCCCTCTATAGCATCCACCTATGCTACTGTTTGGGACAGGTTACTGAGCTAGATGGACCATGGGGCTGACCAAGCACGGCACTTTTTATGCTCTTATGTTCTTTGGCTGAGCTTCCAAACTATGGCTGAGATTTGCAAAAAGGGGTAGATAGGCATGTTACAAAGTTGTCACAAAAGATTTGGAGCCCTCTAAATCCCATTCATTTTAATGGAAATTGGCCTTTTGACTGAGCTTTGAAAATCTCAGCCCAAGGTGCCAACCAAATAAGTCAAAACATATTTTTCATTTCTATGCAGTGCATCTATGTGGGGCTCTCCAAGCGTTTTACAAACATGAAATGAACCTCAGGATGAGCCCAGCCAGAGGAGCAGGGGCTCAGCTGCATTTTCCCCCTACCTGTGTTGGTCAGTCCCGAGTGGCACACAGCTCCACCACCACTTCTGCTGACTGGTGCTGACTCAGGCGGGTCTGTCCCATCCAGAGCAGCACGCAGCTGAAGCTGGCTTCCCACGTGCTACTGGG